GAAGTCCGCGCTCCGGACATATCGTAGACGGCCGGTCGTGCCGTCGATGAGCGGCCTCGGCGTCACGCCGATGAGGCCATTCGAGCCCCAGTGCCGCATCCCGACGGCGACCTCGTGCAGCTCCTCGACCGGGCGGCCGTAGCACACCGCCGCCGTCGCGACTCGGACGCCGACGCTCATGAGCCCCGGGCCGCGGTGCCATGTGCAGCATGAGGAGAATGTTAACAAATCTATGCAGGCGCCTGGGACGTCGACGGCCTCCCGCGCTACATCGAGATCGGCATGCGCGACTGGAAGAAGCGCGCGTCCGCGAAGCGCGGCAGCCGCTACGGCATGAACCCCGCCGCGGCTTCGACGGGCCGGTGACGCATCGACGAGTCGGAGCGTACGCGTGACGCAGTCTCTCTCGGACCAGCCCGGCTCGCCCGGATCGACGTACCAGACGCTCCTCGTCCTAACGACGACACACACGAAACACACAAGTTACCCCAGCTCGAAGCCGGAGAGGAACTGGACCGCGAGCGTCGTCGCGACGGCGACGCAGGCGCCCATGAAGTTGATGGAGAAGGCGAAGGCGGCGCGGTCGTTGGCGACGTCCGTCGGCAGGCCGTAGATCTCGTCCTCGGAGCGCCGGCCCACGGTGAGGCCGCCGACGGCCGCGCCCGCGCTCAGGAGCGCCTGCACGACGCTCGGCGCGGGGCACGTCGTCGCCCAGAGGCCGATCATGACGCAGACGAGCCAGCAGCCGGACCGCGGCATCCAGATGGACCGCACGGACGTGAGTAGGAACGTGTCGCAGTAGGGCGCCCGCCCNCGCGCCGTGCCGTCGGCCCCGGCCGGCGCGTCGCAGTCCGTCGCGGCGAAGAAGCAGTGGTGCGCGTCATTGGGCGCNGGCGGCGCGGGCGCCATGACGTGCCGCAGCGCTGCGGCTGCTGCTGCGAGATGCGGTTCTCGGCGCGCGGTGCTTACCCGGAGGCGCCGTCCATATTGAGCTCAAAAACTGCGGCAAATGTTGCTTTGGCGAGCGAGCCAATGCTGCCTCAATGCACTCCTAGTATCAAGGGGATATAAATCTAGATGGGGTGGCAGGCGAAACGCGAGGTCCTCGTACTACTCGGGGCCGCCGCTAGCGTTTTCTTTCTTCTTCCACGCCGCAGCGCGCGGGCTGAGTGCAACGATGGCGGGTCGCGCGGCGCGGCGCGGCTGCGGAACCCTTCGACGGGGCGGGGCAGCGAATTTGGGCTGCTGAGATCATTGCGTTGGCTCGCGAGCGCGACGGTTGTTCGGCGGCGGGACGAGAGGGCGGCGGTGTGAGTCGAGTGTGCGATATTTTCTTGTCCTTAGAGGTTGGAGGCGCCCTATGGGTACCCGCGGGGGGCTCGAAACCTTCAGGACACACTTTTCCCACGATCTCAGAGCCTGCGCAGCCCCGGCGCCGACGGTGTCGCAACACAGTTTCTCGGGCAGCGTGCGGGCATTCGAGGTCGAGAACTTTTCGTGTCCTGAGATGCTCGAGCCCATCCATAGGTACCAACGAAGGGCTCTGCAGCGCCAGCAGACGGTCCACGACCATCATCATCGCGAACACGTCCAAGAGCTGCCCCAAAACCCCCTTCCTCGCGTGGCGCCAAACCGGACACGGTGCCCTCCAGCGCGCCTCGGTTTCCTTCCACCGGACCCGAACCGCCCGGACGCGTAAGTCTTGTCGCGGGCGCCTTCGCGGGGGAGCGAATACCGCTGCGGTCCGTCTGGGGCCGCGTCGACGACGGCGGCGTCGAAAAGTCCCCGGCCAAAAGTCGTCAACATTGCCCCAAAACGATGGGTTGCAGTACGAGGAGCTCGCGCAACATAATCTCGTTGAGCTGCCACCCCATACTATTTATTACCCCTTGCTAGTATCACACGCACAGCGCGCTATAGGGAGAGCGTCTGGGCAGCTATGCATCTCCTCGTGACGGTCAAGTGCGGGCAGCGCGAGAGCAGGTTCCGCATCCCCTGCGGCAACGGGCAGAAGACGTTCAAGTGGCTGGGCCTCGTGAGCGCGGCGCGCTACAGCAGCGAGAGCCCCAAGGGGTCGCTGCGCATGCGCGAGTCGCGGCAGGCGCAGGCCGCGGGCACGGCGCTGATCCCGAGCAACATCACGACGAGCGACACGTCCTTCTTCCACCCCGAGGCGCTCCTCGGCGAGCAGCTCGAGGACGGCGCCGAGGTGTGCGTCGCGCTCGCGCCGCGCGTCGCCGTCGACGCCGCGGGCCACCCGAAGACGAGCCGCTGGAGCACCATCGCCTTCGAGCTCAGCGACCCGCGCAAGCCCTTCCGGGAGCAGGCCATGCGCGACGAGTACAGCGCCCAGGAGGCGAAGCGCACGGCCCTCGAGGCCATGGAGGCCGACAAGCGGCGCGGCACGATGGCGCGGAAAGGGTCGCGGCTCCGCGAGGTCATCAAGAGCCAGCTCCCGGACCGCAACGCCGTCCACGAGGCCATGCACGAGGACTGGTTCGCCATGGGCAAGCACCGCGTCCTCGAGGCCTTGGTGGCCGACAAGCAGGAGCAGCAGAAGGTCAAGGCCGTCTTCACGGCGCACTACAGGGCAGCACAAGAGAGCGAAATTCCCAACTTCAAAGGCTCCGATCTCGGCCGTTTTCCACTCGTTTCGGCTGATTTTTGGACGGACGATCATCTCTCGGAACGATCTCGAAGCGTGGAGGTTTTTCTCGTAACGCGCGCGCGCGGAACACTCACGTTAAAGCGACGTTGAATCACCCTTGTGCTGCCCAGGCGCACTACGTCCAGCTCGACGAGCTCTTCAAGACCTACGCGGCCTCCGGGTCGTCCATCGCCACGGCCCAGGAGATCGAGTTCAACGAGTTCACGGAGTTCGTCCACAACGCGAACCTCGTGGCCGAGGGCCCGGGGTCCCAGCAGGTCATGCACAGCTGCTACAACGAGGCGAACGGCGACTTCTCCGGCGGCGGCCGCAAGAGCCGCGGCGGGCCGAACCGCAAGGTGTCGGCGGTGGCGTCCTTCCACGAGACGAAGCACATCGAGCGGCCCGCCTTCTTCAACGCGCTGCTCTGGTTCGCGCTCTTCTGGGCGGGGCACCCGGACGGCCAGCCCGACCCTTTAAGCCGGCCCGGGTCGTCCGCGTCGGGCAAGCCCTCGTCGGGCAACTCGACGGCCTACCTCGCCAAGTTCGAGAAGATCACGAACGCGAGCCGCCAGCTCCTCCAGCTGCTGGAGGAGAAGATCCTGCCGCTCGTGCACAAGCGGCTGCCCGGAGCGCTCGGCAAGATCGCGCTCGACCAGGACGACGTGCTGAGCCTCTTCTACGACGCCGAGGAGGACCTGCGGGGCATCTTCCGCGCCCGCGCGAACACGTCCGACGACGAGATCACCATCACGGAGTTCGTCTCCGTCGTCGACGACGCGGGCCTCATCGGCCGCGGCGGCGCGGCCGCCGCGTCCGCCGGCGGCGAGGGCGGCGACGCGCGGGCCCTCGAGGGGTCGACGACGCTCACGCTCAAGGACGTGCGCCAGGCCTTCGCCGCGTCCCAGTCCGAGGTCGCCTTCGCCGCGCCGGGCCACGAGAAGAAGAAGAAGAGCGAATCCAGCCGCCGCGACGAGGCGCGCGACATCCACACGTCCCACAGCCTCATGTCCTTCGCCGAGTTCATCGAGGCCGTCGCGCGCATCGGCCTGACGAAGTGGTCCGGCGGCGCCGACGGCGTCTCCTCCGTCGGCGTCGCCGAGCGCATCCAGCGCGCGATCCAGGCCATCGTCCACCACAAGTAGCGACGTCGCGTAATTCACGCGCGTTACATGGGGCGGCGGAAGGCCTACCACGGAATGCGGAGACCATCCTCGCTGTTCACGCACGTGCCCGTCGTGGACATGTCGCTCTTGATGGCCTCGTGGAGGACGCGCTTCGCGCCGACGTGGGGCTCGACGGCGCCCTCGATGTCCCAGATGTGCTCGTCTGCGCGGGGGGAGCGACGCGTCGCGAAAGGAAAGGAAAGGGGCGGGCGATTCCGGGGCCCGTCCCCGGATTCCGGGGCCCGCCTGTCCCCCGTACGCCTCCGCCACCGCGAAAGGAAAGGAAACGGACGGGGCGCACGCACACTTCTTCGTCATCGACGTGCGGCAGAAGCCCGGGTGGACGAGCTGCACGGAGACGTTCGCGGGCTTGAGCTCCTGGGAGAGGATGACGCCCATGATGTTGCAGGACGCGCGGCTCATGTGGTGGCCGTAGTTGCCCGTGAAGGGGTTCGACGTGTCCAGGGAGCCCGGCGGGTTCTGCGTGAGCCGCCACTCGCACGAGCCCGCCTGCGACGTGATGATGATGACCTTCTCCTTGATCTTGCCCGCCTTGAAGAGCGCCGACGAGACGCGCAGGGGCCCGACGGAGCAAATGTCGATCATGAGCAGCTCCTGCGCGAAATTGAGGTGGCCCTCGTTCTCGCCGACGCCGACCGACTCCGCGGGGCCGTAGAAGTAGCCCGCGTTGTTGATGACCATGTCCACGGGCTCGGCGACGCCGGCGACGAGCGTCGCCATGGCCTCGTCCTTCGTGACGTCGATGCCCGGGATCACGGACGCCTTGCCGTCGCTCGACGCGATGAGCGCGTCGAGGTCCGCGCTCGTCGCGCGCGACGCGCTGATCGCCTCGCCGCCCTGGGCGACGATCTCCTTCATGAGCTCGAGGCCCAGGTTCTGCTCGCCGCCGGTCACGAGGACGCGCTTGCCCTTGAGCGAGCTCCCGTCGTATACCGTGGTGATGTCGAGGTAGCGCGCGTTGTTGTCCTTCTTGGCCTTGGCGAAGCGCGCGACCTGGTCCGCGAGCGAGTGCGTGCCGCCGCGCGTCTCGTCGAAGCTGTCCTCCTGGGCGCACATCATCGTCTTGCCCATGTCGCCGAAGCCGCTCATCATGGCCTCCATGCTTCGAGCGACGCGCGGATCCGGATCGAGTGGTGACGACGAGCGAGCTGGGGGCTGCCAAGTGATTATTGGCTGCCCTATATCCAGCTAATAGTGCATCAATGTTGAAGAAAAACTGAATGGAGGCTCTTTGACAACATGGTAAGCTAGCCCCCGGGCGCAGGACTCATGGCGAGCGACAGCGACAGCGACGTCGACGAGGACTACGACACCTTCGACGGCGTCATCCCCATCCGGCGCAGCGGGCGGCGCACGGCGACGTTCATGGTCGACCACGACAGCAAGGACCAGCTGAAGCGGTCGCTGCGCATGAAGCAGCGGAGCCAGCGGGCCCTGGAGCACGCGAAGAACGTCGTCGCCGGCGGGTCCTTCAGCGAGAACGCGCCGCCGCCGGGCCTCGGCCGCTACAGCGGCAGCCGGGACCAGAACCGGAGCCGGAGCCGGACGTCGAGCACGAGCACGTCGGGCATCAAGCCCAAGCTGTCGTCGAGCCGCGCCATGTCGACGTCGGTCCAGGAGCAGGACTCCCTCGAGGCCATCTCCGTGCTCCGCGAGGGCGGCGTCCAGGCGTTGGAGCAGCGGCGGGCGACGGCCGTGCTCCAGCGGGCCGCGTCGGGCATCAACGAGTCGGACCTCGGGGGCCTGCGGCGCCGCGCGTCGGGCCCCGTGGCGCCGTCGCCGGCGCTGCGCGCGTCCTTCCGCCGCGCGTCGGGCCCCGCGGCGGCCCAGCTCGGCGCGGCGCCGCTCGCGCCGGACGGCGCCGCGGCGCGCGCGCGCGCGCCGTCGCTCGCGCGGCAGCTCTCGATGCGGCTCGCGACGTCGCTCAAGTCGGCGACGGCCAAGGTCGTCGGGTCCGCGTCGCCGTCGCCCCAGGGCACGGCGTCGCCGAGCTCCGCGAGCGTCGCGCCCGAGGACGACCAGTCCGTCGGCTCCGGCGAGGGCGCGGCCGCGCCCGCGCCGTCCGCGTCGCCGCGCGCGCGCGTCCGCCGGCAGACGTCGGAGCTCGTCGGCTTCGTCTCCTCCGCGAAGAAGAAGCTCGACGACAAGGTCCAGGCGGAGGAGGGGCACAAGAAGCGGCCGCCGCCGTCCGAGGCCGCGGCCGCGGCGGCCGCGAAGATGGGCCTCGACGGCGGCGGCGGCGGCGGCGGCCGCGGCCGCGGCGGCGGCCGCGGCTCCTTCCGCGCTCGGCCGCCGGGCTACACGGCGGGCCCGGCGAAGAAGCGCGACAGCATCAACCGCTTCGCCCAGCTCCGCGAGCACGTCACGGGGCCCGAGGACCCGGAGGCGCGCGCGCGGGCGAACAGTACGACGATCATGTCCGCGGCGGATTTCGCGCATCTCGTGAGCCAGCACATGGACAAGGAGAGCAACACGGCGAAGTCGCTCGAGGGCGCCACGCACAAGGCCACGGAGAAGTTCAAGGCCTTCCGCAAGCACGCGGCGCCCAAGGGGGCCCTCGTCGTCGGCGGCGGCCTCGACGCGTCCAAGGTCTCGGGCGCGGGCGCCGTGCGCCGCGCGGCGCGGAACGTGGGCCAGGAGGACGTCGCCCAGTTCAACCGCGCTTTAGCGAAAGCCGTCAAGACCGGCGGCAGCCCCACGGGGTCGAGCCGCGGCGTCAAGGCCGGAAACGACGGCGTCGCGGGCGTCGACCGGCGCGGGTCCGTCGTCGCGAAGATCAAGACCATCAAGGAGTCCGCGAGCGACTCGAGCGACTCCGACGCCGACTCCGAGGGCCGCGGCGACGCCGACAGCGACGAGGAGCCGACGCGCCTCGAGCCCTGGCGGCGCACCATGTGGTTCCTGACAGCGTGGATTCCACCCACTGGTTTGGGGGGTCCCCACCAAACTTCTCTATCTCGGTCAAATCGAAGTCGATTTGGCTGATTTTTGGACGGATCGATTGCTCTCGTCGAGTTCTCGAAGCACAGGGAAGGAGTCTGGTCCAAAACGTTCGATTACGCGCACATTGAAGTCGGGTTGAAGATTTGGTTTCCACACAGGTTCCTGAACTTCGGCATGAACGACCCGTGCGTCGACGACGCCGTCGCGAAGATGGGCGTCAAGACGTCGCCACTCAAGGCGCCGCCGACGATCCGCGGCCACCACGCGCGCGAGGTCGAGCACGGCGACGGTGCGTCCGTCGCGACGGCCGCGACGACGGGCTCGACGGCGCTCGTCGGCGACCGCGACTCCGCGGCGACGCGGGCGACGACCGAGAGCGCGTCGAGCGAGAGCGACGGCGACTCGAGCGAGAGCGAGGGCGACGAGGACGACCTGGGCCAGCGCGAGGTCGTGTTGCGCCACTGCGTCGCCAAGGTCGCGCGCCAGGACCGCGTCCAGGGCCTCCGCCTCGAGGAGTGCTTCGTGACGCGCGTCGTCCGCGCGGCGTCGCACCGCGCGGCGCCGCCGCCGGGGAAGCCGTCCCTCGCCCCCGGCGCCTTCCCGCACCTGCTCCGGCGGGACCCGAGCGCGCCGCCGCACGTGCGCCAGGTGCGCTGCACGCACTTTGCCGGCGCGACGCACGGCCACAGCCCGCGCATCGAGCTCCCGCACACGCCCGTCGGCGACGGCGCGGCCCGGGCGTTGAGCAACGTCGTCGCGAGGACGAGGCCCGAGGCGCTGGTGCTGGACGACAACAACCTGGGCGACCGCGCGGCCGCGGCGTGCGTCGACGCGCTCCGCGGCTGCGACAAGCTCTCGGAGATCGCGATCTCGCGGAACAAGCTCGGCCCGACGACGGCGTCCATGCTCGCGGCGCTCGCCGACGTGCCCGACATCCGCAAGTCCATGCGGATCCTGGTGCTGGAGCACTGCGGCCTCGGGGACCGGAGCCTCGCGGTCGCTCTGGAGGGCTGGCGCTTCGCGATGCTCACGCGGCTGAACCTGTCCGCCAACGCCATCGCCGAGGGCGCCGCCCAGGGCCTGGCGCAGATCATCGCCAACGGGAACCTCGTGGATTTGGACGTGCGGGACACGAAGCTGCGGGGGCCCGCGGCGAAAGTCGTCGCGGCCGCGCTCGGGTCCAAGTACTCGCGCGTCGCGACGCTGGACCTGTCCTGGAACGGCTTCCACGACGAGCCCGGCGGGCCGCGCGCCGGCGGCCGGGGGCCTCTGGGCGAGCTCGCGCGGGCGCTGGAGCACACGGCGACGCTGACGCACGTGGACCTGAGCCACAACAACCTCGCCGCGGCGGACCTCCGGACGCTCGGCGACGCGCTCAAGCACAACTTCACGGTCATGGGCCTCCACCTCGAGGGCCAGGAGGCGCGCGTCGACGCGCTGGGTTTTGTGGTCGGCGTCCGCGACGACGCGCGGCCGCGGCGGCGGGGCGACCCGCCGGCGCCGCGCGAGGAGCGCGCCGCGGCCGCGGAGTCGCGCGCGGCCGCGCGGCCGGGCATCGCGGCGGCGGGCACGGACCGCGCGGCGGCGGGCCACAACGTCTTCTCGCGCATCCTCACGCCGGGGTCGCGCGTCGTCGGCGGCGACCGGTGGAAGGCGTCCGGGTGCTGCTGGATCTGCGACCGCTGGGTCGAGCACCGCTTCGTCTGGTCGCCGGGCGAGAGCGACGCCGGCGCGACGCTCGCGAGCGACTCCGTCGTGCGGCTGCGCGCGTCCTTCGACGGCTGGGAGCCCAAGGCCATGCACGCGGTGGGCAACCAGGGCGAGCGCCGCGCGGGGCCCGTGCGGCCCAAGCTCGAGCTCTGGCGCATGGTGCCCCCGGGCGCTTCCCAGTACTGCTTCGCCGTCGGCGAGTCCCCGGCGACGCTCCACACCTACGCGCTGGACCAGGCCGCGGAGCCCCGGGACCGCGCCGCGGCCGCCGGAGTGCCGAAGATCGTCAACGCGACGGCCCTCGCGCCGCGGCCGCTGGCCGAGGAGATCAAATTGTTGCCGCGCAGCGACAACGCCAAGCCCAAGCCCGTGGCCTGGACCGTCGCTAGGTCCGCCTTCTCCGCCTACAAGGCCGACACGGACGTCGTCTTGGACGGCGCGTTCCTGTGTGGAATTCAACCACTGGTTTGGGTGGTCCTGACCAAACTTCAGAATTCTCTAGCTCGGTCAAATCGAAGTCGATTTGGCTGACTTTTGGACGAATCGATTGCTCTCGTCGAGTTCTCGAAGCACAGCCGAAGAGATTGCGTCGAAAATGTCGCATACGCTCGCATTGAAGTCGGTTTGAAGCTTTGAATTCCACACAGGCGCGTTCGACGCGGACTACCGGCTCACGGGCCTCGAGAAGCTCCTGGCCAAGGCGGCGGCCAACGACGACGGTCTCGTCGAGGACATGAAGACGGAGCTGCGGAACGAGTTCGCGACGATCAAGAACACGTTCAAGCACTACGCGTGCCAGAGCAGCGAGATGTTCACGATGGGCTGGAACTCGTGGAACGTCTTCGTGAAGCTGCTGTGCGCGGGCGAGGGCGACGACGAGCCCCCGACGCCGTCGGCGCCGGCGACGCCGCCGCCGGAGACGCCGCCGCCGGCGACGCCCGAGTCGCGGCCCGGGAGCTCGAGCTCGCCGGCGAAGCCGCGGACGCCCGGCGGCGGCAAGCGCGGCGGCGCCGCGCTGCGGCGGAGCGACACGGACATGATCTTCTTCAAGGCCTGCACCATCGGCCCCAAGGGCCCCATGAACCCGATGAAGTCGCTGAACCGCTTCCAATTCCTGGAGGCCGTCGTCCGCCTCGGCGTCGGCCGCTGGAAGAACGACGTCGACTCGCCCCTCGACGCCGTGCTCAAGACGCTCGAGCGCATGGCGGCCATGCTCGAGGACGCGGCGGAGCAGCACATGTCCACGACCGCCTCTGGTGCGAG